CCCGAGAGAGCATCAAATGTAAACCATTTACACGGACCTAACTTTCCTTGGTGTACCTGGCAGTTCACCGTCTACTGCGGGCTCACCATAGCCCGTGCTACTTGGACTTTCCTGTTCAAGGTAGCGAATCTTAGTCTCCGTGGTGTAGTGGTAAGACACTCGCCTGGCGTTCCGCGAGCGCTTTGTCACGGGTTCGTATCCTGGCCGGGGAGGATTTACTGGGCGCAAATCCTTAACTGTAGCCTCTGTTTAACTCAACAGTAAAATGTGTACTTGGTTGTAACAAGGATTCTTCGCGGCGGGGATCGTATTCCAGGGACCTGCCCGAAACGCTACGCGTACTAGTGGCTCTACAAGAATGTAACAACTCTTGTATATATCTCAAAGAAAAAAAAGTAAAAGATTCTATCCGAGCTGTCCGGAGGGAACGTCTATTTTGTTTTAGTTCTCCATAGTATTAAGTTTTCTTTGGAAAGAACTGAATCACGTTTTCTGTATTTTTTTGTTTATTTGAGCTGGTTACCGGAGTTTATCTGAGGACCACCATCTCTAGTGGCCTCGATGGGGACGAGATGCCGGCGGCTTGTCGAAGTCTCTACGTTATTCCTGAAGATTTGTATCCAGCTGAATTGTAAATTGAAGTAATGTCTTCCAAGGATTCTATGGGGGTTGTTCCCCTATGGATAATATCGTGTAGTGTAGGCCTATGACAAGCAGGGCCATCACGACCATTAGGCCTGGGCATTACATTCACGGTAGGCCTCAAATTTAGGCTTTATAGTATCCCAAATGGTTTGGTGTTTAGTAATTTGGTTTATCAATCTTTGCAGGGCTATTTGCCATCCTTCAAGTATACCTTAGTCTTCAACATAGTTCAGAAATGAAGAGAATTCGACGTATATATATATATATATATATATATATATATATATATATATATATATATATATATATATATGTATATATAATATATATATATATATATATATATATATATATATTATATATATATATATATATATATATATATATATATATATATATATATATATATATATATATATATATATATTATATATATATAAGTACTTTTACATTTATAAATTAAACTATTCCTGGAATTATTATAAAGTATGGCACGCCAGGGTCATACTATGAGATGTAAGTTGAACATTTACATGTATAAATGTAAACATGTATGATTTACAGATTTTTGGAGTGATCCTTGAAGCTAGAATGAAAGCTGCAGTATTTTAAATTTCATAGCTTTAGTGGTAGACATTACAGTTTGATATAAATGTTATAAATTTGTTATAACTTTGTTTAAAAAAGTTATAAATTTGATACACATGTTTGATATATTTGCAATATTTAGCATTAACTTGGGTTAATTAAGCTGAAGAACTGTGAGAGTTGTGGACCCTGGTGAAGTGAACATATAAACTATAGAATGTTAATTGTAGTAGACATTATGTTGCTTCTGTTTTTAAACTAGTTAAAGTATAGCAATTTTTTTTCCAGCTGGGAGAGAGAGAGAGAGAGAGAGAAGGAAATTATGAGGAGAAAGTACTAAGCCAGGATGACTATATAGCACATTGCATTTAGGAGGACTTGACGCAATTTAAGAAATTGTGCAATTCAAAGATACGTCTCGTGTGATAAGTTATGCAATACATAACTATGTAAATTAACTTATTTTAGGAGATGTCAATTGTAAGATTCAAGTTAGGGGGCCCAGGAGCTGAAGCACAACCTCGAGATGAAATGGGCGGGAGTTCAGGATCAGAAATAGAAGCTGTTGATAAAAAATTATCCATATTTCAAGGTCGCAAATACGTGTTTCCTAAGTGAACAAATCCGTAGGAGCCGTGGTGAGGGTTCGAATCTGTGTGCTGGGGATTCGAACCCTCACCACGGCTCCTGGGGATTCGTTCATTGATATATCACAATAATGTTACGTGTGTGTGTGTGTTTTCCCTAAGTGTTGTGGTACTTTGGGGCCTGACGGCTGAATGAACAGCGCTCGGGGTTCATAGTCCTAAGGGTCTGGATTCGATCACCGGCGAAGTCGGAAACAAATGGACAGAGTTTCTTTCTCCTCTGATTTCCATGTTCACTAGCAATAAATAGGTACCTGGGAGTTCGACAGCTGCTACGGGCTGCTTCCTGGGGGTGTGTAACAAAAAAAAAAAAAGAGGCCTGGACGAGGACCGGGCCGCGGGGACGCTAAGCCCCGAAATCATCTCGAGATAACCTCAAGATAACCTCAGGAAGGGTTAAACGCTCTCACACTTTGCAGTTCATTTTAAATCACAATGTGAAAAGTCAAAGAAATATAGCAATGGTAGGAATTTGAGAGCTAACAAAATCTATATAAAATAGAATGTGTCCGACTGCCTTTGTGTATCCAAAGACGGCCAGATACTTGGGGCTAGCCTCACTCAACATTCCACCATGATACTTGGGTGGTATGGGAGTGTCGTAAGCCAGTTGGGGTCGGCATAAGTGCCAACAATAAGAAATATGGGCATCTATAACTCCCCCCCCCCTTCCCTGTGATTTTCATGAAATCTGAAATAAAATCGAAGATACGTTTTCCGTAGAGTTTTTAAGCCGTTTTTATCAGTGCTTCATATTTAATTTTCTGAGAGAGGGGAAGAAGAGAGGGGGGGAGTGGGACAGGAAGGGAGGAAGGTGGAGAGAGTGGGAAGAAGGGAGGAGATGGGGTAGAGAAGAATAGAAAGGGGGGGGGAGATAGGGAAGAGAGATAAAAGTGGGGGAATATTGGGAGAAGGTAAGGGGAGACCCAGCCCCATTCGGTTCCACGTTTAGCTATTATACAGAGCATAGATAATAAGAAAGAGATAATAATAGATATATTTCTAGACAATGAGTTAGTAGTGAGTTAGTAGCTCAATGTGGCGAGGGAATTAGGTACTTCATCTGTTACTTTTGAGTAAAGATTATAGATTGAACAAGTTTGTTGTTATTCATTTGTACTTCATTAGCAAGGAATTTCCATATATTGGGTCCCTTTATTTGCAAGCGTATTTGCACAGATTTAATCTGATTCAAGGAGTATCAAGAGAGATAATTCTGGTTTGATTTTTTGGGTTTTGTTATACCCTGATAGGAAGAGGTTTCAGATCAGGATTAATATTGATATAATTTTGCAACTGTTAGTAGCCTAAGCGGCTGTATTGTAATTTTTTTTAATTTTGTATTTTTTTTGTAATTTTGTGTAATTTTGTAACTATTTGAAGCGGATGAGTTCTTATCAACTCTTGAGCGAGTTGATAAGAAATATAATGTGAGAAGAGCAGAGTTTGGGGATCAGGGTCTGATTTTGTAAAATAATTCAACTGTTGTTGATATACTTTTTTTTATGTCTTGTAGGTGAGTACTGGCACTTTAGGTGAATACTGGCGCTGTAGGTGAGTACTGGCACTTTAGGTGAATACTGGCGCTGTACCTTATCAATGAACAACAGCCTGGTGGACCAAACTCTCACACGTCAAGCCTGGCCTCGGGCCGGGCTTGGGGAGTAGAACAACTCCCAGAACCCCATCAAGCAGGTAAGCCTCTTGCATTTCTCCTTAGTTTTCTATGTGTTGTTGAGATGTGGTGGACAATGTTTGAGAAAGGCTTCTTGTTTAATACCAAAATAGGACTAAAATTGGTCTTGGGACATGCCAAAGAAAATTGACAATTCAAGCGCCTCGTAGACTTCGTTTAGCGTCACCCACCACCAATTTGTACCCTATTTCGTTACGTATTTTTAATTAGCTTTGGGTTACGCGACTTGATGATGGTTCAGAACGGACCGAAACATTGTTGTTTTAGCATTTTTTGATATGTAGTTTAGTAATGATATCTTAAGGCAGGTTATTGTGACTTATTGGCTATATGTGGCTCTGGGGAGCTTGAGTAGCAGGATCTGAACCCATGTTGTCCTGGGTTATGTAGATGCTGTGATTCCTTGTGTTCTGTCATGTTACATCTTGGAACTCTTTCAAAGATTTGTATTGTGATTTTTTTTTTTGCAGGGATATTCCTGGGCGGGCCCTAAGCCTCTGGCTGGCCCACTAAGTGTTGCTTGTTTCTGTTTTACTTGGGCGGAGTATGAGTATTTATGACTCGTATGGTCGCTTCAGTAAGATTTTGCCATATGTGTTTTAACAACGTCTTCTGGTATTATGTGTGGGGTTAGTGCTATTGGGCTATAAATTTGTGTCTGCTTTATTGACTCCTTTGTGGAGTGGAGCGATCTCGTTTTAAGAAAATTTTACGCCTATCTCTAAATGATGTTTAGGGCCTGAAATCGTTTTTTTTATCAATTCTTGGTGAATATAGCATCCAGAGTCCAAGCCTGGTGCAAAGTGCGTATAGACATGCTATCTATATCTACTACAAAAGTCCAGTGGGGGTTAGTGACATTTGATATATGGTTCGAAGACAAAATCGTGTGTATTAATGATCTCAAGTGTGTACAGGAGGGGTCACTGGAAGCAGAATCTTATTCTTATATTGAGTATTTCAATCATTTCTTTCCTGTTAACTGGAAAAGTTCCATCTTCCTTGCGCAAGGACTCATTGCTAGATGTACTTTTTGTTCGAACTTTTTGTTCGATTTTACATAGGAGGAAAAGTAGTTTGGGTTCTCCTCTATTTCACTGGTAGTGAAAACAGACAGACATTAGTAGTATCGGTTTGTAACATAGGCACATAATGTGACAATTATGTAACAATTATGTGACACAGGCACATAATGTGACAGTTATGTAACAAAGGCACATAATAGGCTCAGGAACATAGATCAGCTTAGCCAATTGGACATCACACACCGCTCCTGTGCCAGGTAAGTTACGGGCTCACCATAGCCCGTGCTACTTGGAGCTTGTTCCGAGTAGCTGAATCTATAACAACAACAACTTAGCCAATTGATGTAACAATAGCATAACTACTCTGACAGTTTAACTAGGGAGTAGCCATACCACAGATATATTTTCATTTTATTGGTCAAACAAGAGTATAAAAACAAGGTACAAAAAACAAAGTTGAGGTAAGATACCACAGTATATACACAGTGTATATGATAGATGAGCGGCGAAGTGAGTAGATGAGCTAATCTAATGAGTAACAATTAAGAGTAATAGGCTGGGTGTCGGGCTGGCTTACACCGGACTCTTGAGGCGACGACAGAGAGTAAGACAGTGTATGTCGTCTCCTGTAGCGTCGCTGACTCTGCTGATGGTAACAGGGAGGTGTGTTCCACGGGGCAAACCAGAGGTAAACAGTTTACCAATACCCGCCACCACCACCGCCACCATACCCTCCTCCTCCGCCACCATACCCACCACCACCACCATATCCGCCACCACCACCATACCCACCTCCTCCCTTGCCCTTGCCCTTCCCGCCAAAGAGATCACCTAGCCCCTTGCCCTTGCCTTTGCCCTTAGGGATGGGGATCTTGTGGACATAGACGGGCTGGTAGGTGACCTTAGGTACCGTCACCAACTTCCACTCCTGGACGTGGTGCACTACAGGCTTGTGGATCAGGACCGGGGGAGGCGCCGGGTGCACTATGATGGGTTTCTTGACGTAGACGGGGTGGTGCTCAATGACGGGCTTCTGCACCACCACGGGCTTGGTGACCTCGACGGGCTTGTAGGTCAACACTGTCTGGTAGGCCTCGTAGCCGCCGCCGCCACCGCCCTTGCCCTTCCCGCCTCCTTTGCCGCCCGGCTCGCTCCTGGCCGCCGGCGGCGCCGCAAGTAGCAACAACACGGCTCCCAACGCGATCTGCAATAGAACCAAAAACAGTGTTCCTTGTTAGTTCTGTTTTTCATGTTATGGTGTTCTCTGTTGACTGTTGTGGATGTTATGGTGTTCTCTGTTGACTGTTGTGGATGTTATGGTGTTCTCTGTTGACTGTTGTGGATGTTATGGTGTTCTCTGTTGACTGTTGTGGATGTTATGGTGTTCTATGTTGACTGTTGTGGATGTTATGGTGTTCTCTGTTGACTGTTGTGGATGTTATGGTGTTCTCTGTTGACTGTTGTGGATGTTATGGTGTTCTCTGTTGACTGTTGTGGATGTTATGGTGTTCTCTGTTGACTGTTGTGGATGTTATGGTGTTCTCTGTTGACTGTTGTGGATGTTATGGTGTTCTATGTTAATTTCTCACGGGCTCACCATAGCCCGTGCTACTTGGAACTTTTTGTTCCAGGTAGCGAATCTTAAACAAGAACAACAGTTAATTACTGTGGATATTTGGCAGCTATAATGTATACGCTATACAAAACACATTTCATAATTTATATATGATATAAAACATATAACACTGAAATCGTTAATGTTAAAATACAGTTTCATAATATGTATTGAGACGTCTCCACTGGCAGAATAAGTATAATCTCAATTTTATTTTATCTCTTTTTGTATATTGGCATAAAGTTTGCCATTTTTGCAATAGCCTCGAACTACTATTACTTAGAGAGGAATTGAATACAGTACCGAGGGAAGCACAGTGCTTCCGCTGTCTCGGTTAGTATCTAAGGAGCTACGTTGCCTCCTTCAGACAAGTTTGTGTAGTTATTTCCTTACTGTAGTTATTGTCTTACTACTGGTGTGTCTGCCATTTTAAAGTTACTTCGGGGAGGTGGGGGGTAGGGGGGTTGTTGTTGTTTCAGATGTAGCTACTCAGGAAGTGTCCATGTAGCACGGGCTATGGTGAGCCCGTCGGGTGGGGGGGGGGGTTGCTTAAGGCTATTTGTTTAAGTTACAGCTTAAAGGCTGCTTTGAAGCTTCAAGTTCTTCTTATGTTTTGCTTTGTGGAGTCAGATCACCTTGTTCATATTTCTCCTGATGTATTTACCTAGTTGTATTCACCTAGTTGTGCTTGCGGGGGTTGAGCTTTGATCTTTCGGCCCGCCTCTCAACTGTCAATCAATCAACTGTTACTAACTACAAATTTTTTCCACACACTATTGGGACTTCGAATTGGGCCTTAGTTGCTATATCATTCCCCATAATACTTCTCCGCCACTCTCCTAGTTCCTATATACACATTCCTCACCATTTTGCATAAGCTGCGATTTCCTTGTGTGTTCTCTTATATTTCAGACGGGGAGCAGAAGAGGATCTTCCATCCTCTTCTGCGTGTTTCCCTAGCCTGTAGGTGCTGCCTGTGTCACCGTGGACTGGTGCTTTCCCTTGAGGCCCGATTCACGAAACAGTTATGCCAGCACTTACGAACCTGTTCATCTTTTCTCAATCTTTGGCGGCTTTGTTTATAGTTATTATCGGTTAATGAGCTCCGAAGCACCAGGCGGCTGTTTATAACAATAACAACAGTTGATTGGGAAGTTTTCATGCTTGTAAACTGTTTAATATATGTAACCAAAGCCGTCAAAGATTGAGGAAAGATGTACACGTTCGTAAGTGCTTGCTTAACTGCTTTCGTGAATCTGGCCCTAGGTCTCTATGACCTCCACTGCCACAGTATATTCTAAATCTTAACCCATAATGGGGTTTTATGGTGTTCCCATTCCTTGTTTCCTCCGTGATATGTTGCAGTTGGAAATTCCTCTCTATCACTTCTCTAAGGTTTGCTCTCCATGTCTCTTCCCTGCCTCTCGGGTCCATTGTTTCAAATGGACCATTTGGTCATGGTTGAAGTCTCTTATTACTGCTATCTTGAATTTCAATTTGTTGCTAAAACTGATTTAATAAACGGCCTGTGCTTGATTTAATACAAGCACACACCGTACGTCACCTTTGAGATATATACAAGAGTTGTTACATTCTTGTAGAGCCACTAGTACGCGTAGCGTTTCGGGCAGGTCCCTGGAATACGATCCCCGCCGCGAAGAATCCTTGTTACAACCAAGTACACATTTTACTGTTGAGTTAAACAGAGGCTACAGTTAAGGATTTGCGCCCAGTAAATCCTCCCCGGCCAGGATACGAACCCATGACATAGCGCTCGCGGAACACCAGGCGAGTGTCTTACCACTACACCACGGAGACTGACAATGATGATGTACTTAACCTAAATTATAGAACGGTAAAAAAAATTCATAGTTTTAAAGTCCTTACAAGCGAGACGTCATCTAGGAGCGTCCTCATTGTGAGCACAAGTGTGTGGTTTACTGTAAAGTACCCCAAGTTTACCTAGTGTAGATAGTTTACCTCGGACTGTTACTGTAACCAGAGTCAACATTCACCAGGCATTTTTTATCCATTCACTTGCGAAACCTGTACATCTTTCAGTAGTCACGGCGGCTTTGTTTACATTTTTTAAACCGTTTACGAGGTTGGAAACTTCACAAATGAAGGATATTATTGTTGTAAACAAACTCGTAGTGCTTCGGAGATCAGTGGTGGTTGGTGGTGGTTGTGAAAGTTGTTGACATTTGTGGTGGTTGGTAGTGTTGGTGGTGGGTGTTGATAGTTGTGGTGGATAGTGATGGTGGTTGTGGAGGTTGTTGTTAAGTGTAAACAAAGCCGCTTTGACTGACAGCTGTACAGTGGTAGTAAGTGAATGAGTAAATGCTTGGTAAATCTTAACTCTAACCTGTCGATAGGGGACATGACAACAGTTTAGAATTATTTACAGCAAATGTAAACCGTTTAGCTTAAATATTGTGAACCAGTTGGTAAATGACATTTAATATTAATGTCATTCACCTCTCTCTCTCTCTTTTGCAGTTACCTTTGTTCTTATGTTCTCTCATTACGGGCTATTCATGCCCGTGCCACCTCTTGGGTGGCTTAATCTTTATCAATCGTATCTCTCTCTGTCTCTCTCCCAGGCCCAGGGTTAAGGCGGGAAGGTGTCTACAATAAGCTTATCCAACACTACAGGTGAAGCTGTTGGTTACAGTCGATGACTTTGTACCCGTTGTCCTGTATCTCACGTGTTCGTAACCTTCCGTCTAATTCATAGAGTCCCGTCTGACGATCAACACCTTTCACCCCACGACCCTAATCCTCTGGGACCTCGCCCAGAGCACTGTGGATGAACCCCTAGATTATTGCCCCTCCCTGAGGTGGGGGGGCGGTAACCCTCCCTCTCCCCTCCCTGTCGGTTGAGGGGGGGGGGGGTGTTTGCCTTTAAGTAAAGAGCTAGCTTATTGGACAACCTCCCCCCCCCCTCGGCCTCCGTCACAGGCTGTGTGAGGCGATAATTAACAATTGATTGATTGATTAAAATTAAGCCACCCAAGAAGTGGTATGGGGCTTGAAGAGTTAACGAAAAGATCTTTATAGATGGCGATAATGGAAGCTCTTAATGGAATAATGGAAGTAATGGAAGGATAATGGAAGCTGGAGTGACTCTTGGCTCTGCCCGTTGGATGTCCCGCCCTTTCTCTTCTCTCTGAACAGGGAAGTGTTCCCTGTTCAGAGACCTCTGAACTCTGACCTCTGAACAGGTCTCCTTCAGAGACCACTTCTTGAAGTTTTGAAGCAGATGTCTAGAATACCTTAATATTATGACGCTTTGATGTTACATAATTAAGAGCCAGGAATCGCTGGCCACTGGTCCACAAGGTTGACATTAGATCCCTTGACTTTAAGGAAGACGATTCCCTTAAAGGTATTAAATAGTGCGATTCCAACTTTTTTTTTAATTTCGATAAAGTGCCAATGTGGCATTTGGGCCTAATACGATTTAACTTGAGAACTGGTTAGTTAGACAGGCACTAGTCTCTCTGTCTCTGTCTCTCTCTCTGTCTCTCCACCCCGTCATCTCTCGCCATGGTCACCTCTCCCTTTCCTCGCCCTTGTGTTTCCTTCGTAATGTTTCTTCAAGCGACCACTTTCTCCTGGGCTGTTCCCGTTGACTCATTGATGCCACGGGGCACCACTTTCTCCCGTCCGCTTGAAACCTTCTCTTATTTTGCAAGATTTGTTGAGTGCGCCTCGAATGTGTGTGTCGCGGTGAGTTAGCAATTTCGGAAAGGGAAAAAAATGCTGGCTGAATGATTTCTCTGTTGCTGAAACAGGATTATTGCTTGCCTTTTGGGACCCAGAGAGAGAGAGAGAGAGAGTGTGAGTGTGAGTGTGAGTGTGAGTGTGAGTGTGAGTGTGTGAGTGTGTGAGTGTGTGAGTGTGTGAGTGTGTGAGTGTGTGAGTGTGTGAGTGTGTGAGTGTGTGAGTGTGTGAGTGTGTGAGTGTGTGAGTGTGTGTGTGTGTGTGTGTGTGTGTGTGTGTGTGTGTGTGTGTGTGTGTGAGAGAGAGCCAAAGACTGATGCAAAAATCAGTATTATGCTCGCCAACAAATTACCTAAATAGCCTCACCTCTCTCAAAAAAAGTTAAATTGCCTCAATCAAACCCGAGGGAAATAGATGCTTAGTGCTATGCTGGGAAATAATCATAGTATAGGAAAAAAAATACATGTTTTTCTAGCAAATAAACTCATTTTATGTTTAACGAGGCGGATCAAACCATCGGTTTTAAAAGGGGTCTTTTTTCAGTAAATTGGTGGACCCAACAAGGCTGTTAGTGGAGTGTTTCGTTCAAATCCATAGTCTAGCAGTGGCCACAGTCTAGCAGTGGCCACACACCCTAGCAGTGGCCACACACCCTAGCAGTGGCCACACACCCTAGCAGTGGCCACACACCCTAGCAGTGGCCACACACCCTAGCAGTGGCCACACACCCTAGCAGTGGCCACACACCCTAGCAGTGACCACACACTCTAGCAGTGACCACACACCCTAGCAGTGGCCACACACCCTAGCAGTGGCCACACACCCTAGCAGTGACCACACACCCTAGCAGTGGCCACACACCCTAGCAGTGGCCACACACCCTAGCAGTGGCCACACACCCTAGCAGTGACCCCCACACCCTAGCAGTGGCCCCCACACACTAGCAGTGACCCCACCAGTGTGGTGGGGTCGCAGTGCACATTTCACCAACTCATCAAAGACAAAATATATATTCCTTAATCGTCGCCGGCTGTGAGCAGTGAAAGGGAAGGAACCCGGAATTAAATATTTAAATTACGCGTAACGAAGTTGAGAAACTTTTGCAGTCTTTTTTTGTTTCTGCTGTAAGAAGAGTACAAGCCACATGGACCGCTAGAACAAGTTTGGTCCATTAGTAAATTATTCTAAAAAAATTATAGTAGTTAGCCCAAGTATTAACTTGATTATACGAGTGGTAGGAGATGAAGAAAACGGTAAGAGACGTAGAGATATGTTAAGAATATCACGGGTTAAGAACATCAACTTCTCACGTTATTCAGGTAACGCGCGCGGTGATGGGACGTTAAAAGGTGGTCAACGAGCCTTGAGGGATTAAGTAACGAGCGTTGTGCTAGCCGTTATAATTCTTCACGAATATCTATCCAGAAATTTGATAGCAATTGAAAATGCGAGACTTCAATTTTCATCGTTTCATGCACGATTTACTCTGCTGTAGTGTTTTGTGGAGGTTGATGAGGGTCCCATTGTTTAAGATCCGCTACCTGGAGCAAAAGTTCCAAGTAGCACGGGCTATGGTGAGCCCGTGATATGAGGACCGCCTGACCTTTCTCCCCAGCGGTGACCTCGAATGGATGATACGACCGGCGAACACTCAATGTGTCTTCCGGGCGTCACTCGCATGTGGATAAAACGGATTTGAAAAGAAGTGGGAGTAGTGAAAGTGCGGCTGTGAGTGGTGTTTTTTTTGAGTACAAAAACAGGTTTCAGGTGAAGAAAGGTTTTGTCCAACTGAAAGCTGTGGACGTGGCTCGTACTCGCCTAATTGTGCTTGCGGGGGTTGAGCTCTGGCTCTTTGGTCCCGCCTCTCAACCGTCAATCAATTGGTGTACAGGTTCTTGAGCCTATTGGGCTCTATCATATCTACACTTGAAACTGTGTATGGAGTCAGCCTCCACCACATCACTGCCTAATGCATCCCATTTGTCGTGTGTGTGTGTGGCACTCAGGTATGTGTACACTACAGTGGGTTGTTGTTTTTAGATTTGTTCTGGACTACAATTTCAAAGTAGCACGGGCTATGGTGAGCCCGCCCGCGGTGGGTGTATGACTGTATTTATCTCTAAAACAGGCGGCTATATTGGAGAGCCTTACATGACGCTGGGAGCCTAGGTCATTCTTGACATCCCTCTGGCCCCTAGGACACCAAAAAAGTCACAACCCCGCTCCTTTGCCAGATAGTCCACTACGGGCTCACCATAGCCCGTGCTACTTGGACCATTTTGTTCCAAGTAGCTGATTCTAAAGCATCAACCACCACCCTGGGGACACTGAATTATTCGGGTACACAAAATTCAGCACTGCACTACACTATCTCGTACTGTATCCTCTCACTACAGCAACCATTGGCCCTGTATCTAACACATCCGCTACCTCTGGTCCGCAAGCAAGTTCAAGTATGTTTATTGAGACAAGAAAAAAGTACATCTCAAAGGGATAGAGTAGCTTGGGCTATTTCTACCCTCCAAAGGTCCGCAAGCAATGATTTGGTTTCAAAGTGCATGGTATAGGAAGCCTACCATTGACTGACCTCTGCCAGGGTGCGACCCACAACAATTGACGAACTCCCAGGTACCCGTTTAGTACTAGGTGAACGGAAGCATCGGGTGTAAGGAAACTTGCCCAAATGTCTGGGTTTCAGACATGAAACCCAGACATTTAGCTTGTAAACACACTATCATTAATACAGTGCTTGCTTAAACAGACACAGTCAATACGTCACTTGCGACAAGTTAACGTAGCAGTTTGTATATTAAATAATATTCAAACTTGATTACCACAAAAGGTACTGGTGTGGTATTTATATCAGGTCATTTGGAATCCACACAAATATATATAAATAATATATATTTATATATATTATGAACACGTTGTACTGAACGGGGTGACAATAGCTTGAACTACCTCATCCCTTCTGTGTGTATTTATAAGTCAATAAACTGATTTGAATTTGGAATCTCTGTGCATTCTAAATCACATTTAACTCCCGTGACATAAAAGATATATTAAATATTTTGTCTGTAAATGTATGTGTGTGTCTGTACCGGCGCGTGAGGCTGATAATAGATGACAACCAGCGTATTAAAATTCAAATTTTTGTAATTTTGCCGCCAAAAAGGGCGCGCGCTTATTGGGTGGAGTTGGCCGCCGGCCTCTCCGCCCTCCTTGTTGTCGCATATGATCAGAGAGCCGCGAGTCACGTCCGCCAGAACCACCCCCAACAAAATGCAGCTACACACATTCACTTTTGACATGAGATCCATTTCCCCCCGCGCATGTGCACAGCAGAAATTGAAAGTGGCTACAGAGGAGTGGAGCCAGGCTGAACCAGGTTCGTGATCCCGGAAGCTGACCCCATACACTCTCTAGCCTGCGGTCAACGGGTCCAGGAGTTGTACACATAACCGGTGGGTCAGGCGCATGTAACGCACCAGCAACCGGTGGGGTCAGACGCGTGTAACGCACCAGCAACCGGTGGGTCAGCCGCATGTAACGCACCAGCAACCGGTGGGTCAGCCGCATGTAACGCACCAGCAACCGGTGGGTCAGCCGCATGTAACGCACCAGCAACCGGTGGGTCAGCCGCATGTAACGCACCAGCAACCGGTGGGGTCAGACGCGTGTAACGCACCAGCAACCGGTGGGTCAGCCGCATGTAACGCACCAGCAACCGGTGGGTCAGCCGCATGTAACGCACCAGCAACCGGTGGGTCAGCCGCATGTAACGCCCCAGCAACCGGTGGGTCAGCCGCATGTAACGCCCCAGCAACCGGTGGGTCAGCCGCATGTAACGCACCAGCAACCGGTGGGTCAGCCGCATGTAACGCACCAGCAACCGGTGGGTCAGCCGCATGTAACGCACCAGCAACCGGTGGGTCAGCCGCATGTAACGCACCAGCAACTGACGGGTCAGGGGAGCTAACGCCTGACCCATCACCACCAAATATCCCCAAATGGAAACACTGGCCCCCAGGTGTTGCTCGGTGTTGCTGCCTTTCACCCTTCACTGCCAAGAGTCATTGTGACACATTCTGGTCTTGAAGGATGTGTCTTGTAGCCTAAGCTACTCTATCCTTATGAGATGTACTTCCTTTTTCTCAGTAAACTTGAAGGATGGGACGAGTCTTTGTCGTCACATCCTCTTGGTCCGCCTGGACCACATCACTCGCTGCTCAGAATGGCGCTAAACAGGTTGGGCAAGTGGTTCTTGTTTGCTGGGCAGAGCAGCGTGTCTTATAGCTATGTAACGAGAAGGTCTGGACCGCGGGTCGCCCCCGGTCCTGGCTACAAGGCAGACTCTTATGATCTTGCTGTAGTGTAAACACCTGACAACATCTGCTTTGAGGTGTTGCACGTGTGTGTGTTCACTGTGGAAATGTGTATTAGCACAAGAACTGTGTGTGTGTGTGTGTCACAATGTTCAGCCAGCCGGACATATAGAGAGAGAAACGCTGCTCGACCCAACACACACACACACCTTCAAGCTCGACCCCCCTCCCACACCTGACCCCCAAGAAGTGACGTAGGCACAAAACACAACCTTACCTGAAGCTTCATCTTGGAGTGACTGCACTCCGCCGGCCGCCCGCCCGCTTATATATCCGGAGGTTGGACTCGGACGGCAGGCCACTTTTACCTCTACGCCTTTCTATATGTGAGCGGGCGGGTAGCTTGGCCCCCTGGCGTTTGTTTTGATGGTAATTTTTTGTTGGACATGATCCGAACGACACTTTGCGTCACCCCCTACGCAAGCCTGTCGTGGGTTGTCGTGTCCTTGATGCGCAGTGGCGTGCGGGGTCTTGTAACAGTCGTTCGAGGTGTCTTAAGGGTGTTGTGATAAGTGTGTTCCGGTGTATCATAACTTGGTCTTCCGGTTTATGCATTCTGCCAGCGGCTTGTGTTGTACCTCCCTGATGTTCCACGGGTCCTTCACGGTTCGCAGCCGTCTTTAAGACGATAACTGCGCGTTGTGCAGGGATCTTGAGACGATAACTGCGCGTTGTGCAGGGATCTTAGGACGATAACTGCGCGTTGTGCAGGGATCTTAGGACGATAACTGCGCGTTGTGCAGGGATCTTAGGACGATAACTGCGCGTTGTGCAGGGATCTTGAGACGATAACTGCGCGTTGTGCACAACATCTTAAACTACGTACAGGACACAAAGACAAGGGGCCAGGTGGCACATGAGGGCAAAACTTGTGCTAGACGGTAGGGTGTGTCACGCGGGTCAGAGTTCAATCCCCGACTGTCCAAGTGATTGTGCCCCATTCCTTTCCTTCCCCCGTCCCATACTAAATCCTTATTTGCAACCAGTTAATTGTGTATATAGACAAATGTTAATTCCGGTTATTATCCAATTAACAGTCTGTGATTAGGCCTAAATAGTAACAGAGTAAATAACAAAACCCGATATCTGGCAACACACAGTCGGGACCTCACATCCTTCTTGAGGTTATCTTGAGATGATTTCTGGGCTTAGTGTCCCCGCGGCCCGGTCCTCGACCAGGCCTCCACCCCCAGGAAGCAGCCCGTGACAGCTGACTAACTCCCAGGTACCTATTTACTGCTAGGTAACAGGGGCATAGGGTGAAAGCAACTCTGCCCATTGTTTCTCGCCGGCGCCCGGGATTGAACCCGGGGCCACAGAATCACGAGCCCAGTGTTCTGTCCGCTCAGCCACCGGATCCTGAAGGAAAACTGTGGTTAAAAATGTATATCAATGAAGGGAAATTTAAATAGTATTAGCGCTTTTATCGACATTGTCACTATTGTCATTATTCACTATTCACTATTGGTCATTATCCATTTACCACTGGCTACGCTGAGGCCATTCTGTCAATGCTCCATTATTTCCATTATAATATGAATGGCCTAAAGTCAAATAATGTCCTTATTTGCACGTGTATGTTGCTGTATAATATTATTTGTGATTGTTGTATGATTGTGTTGTTAGTGTTAACTACTCGTCATGCAACCATCATTATCTCCCCCCCCCCTTCCCTTGCAACCAACCAACCTTGCCAACCAGCGATGCTGTGGGCAGTTGAGACGCGACGGGTTCACGACTGTTATCTGTTCACGTTTATAGAGTTCAGACATCTAGGACGCTTGCAGGCGAGGAGTCACAATAACGTGGCTGAAGTATGTTGACCAGACCACACGCTAGAAGGTGAAGGGACGATGACGACGACGTTTCGGTCCGTCCTGGACCATTCTCAAGTCGATTTTGTGAGAATGGTCCAGGACGGAGCGAAACGTCGTCGTACCTTCACCTTCTAGTGTGCGGTCTGGTCAACATCCAGGACGCTTATCCTGGATGTGGATACCTTGTACGCCTTCTTTACGGTGTACGGAACACCGTACATTTTATGTATTCACGGAACACCAACATTACATATCAGCTTTGGCAAAATAAGAACCGCGTTGGTTATATTATGTGAGGAATGTGTATATAGAAACTAGGAGAGTGGCGAAGTATTATGGGAAATGATATAGCAACTAAGGCCCAATTCGAACCGTTCAATAGCCACACTAGTGTGTGGAAAAAATTAGTAGTTAGTAACAGTTGATTGATTGACAGTTGAGAGGCGGGCCGAAAGATCAATGCTCAACCCCCGCAAGCACAACTAGGTGAATACAACTAGGTAAATACACCAGATACTCCTACAAAATCCTAGTTTCTCAAACCTTCAATCACAGATTACTCAGTTACCCGAGTAATGGGTTTCTTCGTGTCATGCTGAAGCAAAAGAGTCCTATTATAACCCATTATTTAGGTCCTATTATAATCCTAAATATTATCTTTTAATACACGGTTGAATCGGTTCAATATTGGTGGATACAGATATGTTTCTTCTATGTATATATAGTAGATATGTATATTATATATGTATGTATATTATAAGTATATTATGTATATTATAAGTATGTTTCTTCTACTCCCTGATCCTTGGGAGAAAAACAACTCCAGAAACCCTCTTCAGGAATACTCCAGGTATGTAATTCACCCAAGAGGAATTGGCAGTAAATGAGCCGCTGGAGCCTTGGTGATCAAGGCATCTGCCCTTGCTAGTGGTGCGTCTCGCGTTCGTATTCACGAACTTGTTCGTTCGCGAAGTTTACATTGGTGGCAATGTGCGACGTAGATATGGTTCTTAAGAATAGGGTGGAAAGTCCTCGCCAAACTGTGCTATAAAGAACCATTGATATATGCATTAAATTGTGTAACTATAGCTTTCAAGATTTCTACTTTCTTGGATAGATATTTTTTGGTATTCGGTTCTTGAGGCAATAGTGTGCCATTGTAGCATTTTCCACTGCCGCCCACAGGATGGGTATGGGGGTCTACTGCCGCCCACAGGATGGGTATGGGATCCACTGCCGCCCACAGGATGGGTATGGGATCCACTGCCGCCCACAGGATGGGTATGGGATCCACTGCCGCCCACAGGATGGGTATGGGGGTCCACTGCCGCCCACAGGATGGGTATGGGGGTCCACTGCCGCCCACAGGATGGGTATGGGATCCACTGCCGCCCACAGGATGGGTATGGGATCCACTGCCGCCCGCAGGATGGGTATGGGGGTCCACTACCACCCACAGGATGGGTATGGGGGTCCACTACCACCCACAGGATGGGTATGGGGGTCCACTACCGCCCACAGGATGGGTATGGGGGTCCACAACCGCCCACAGGATGGGTATGGGGGTCCACTACCGCCCACAGGATGGGTATGGGGGTCCACTACCGCCTGCAGAATGGGTATGGGGGTCCACTACCGCCCACAGGATGGGTATGGGGGTCCACTACCACCCGCAGGATGGGTATGGGATCCACTACCACCCGCAGGATGGGTATGGGGGTCCACTACCATCCGCAGGATGGGTATGGGGGTCCACTACCACCCGCAGGATGGGTATGGGGGTCCACTACCCCCCACAGGTATGTTACCAAGACATCGTGACATCACAATTAACAGATCAACAAGAGTTCCCTCACAGAGAGAGAGAGAGGGACTCAAATCTTCAAGTATTATACATAACAATAGAAAAATCCAATTCTCTTTTGCCATTACCCAATAATTTCGAAATGATTCTAAACAGGGGGAGTGGTGGAGGTGTCATCACCGCCCTCCAGGAGGTACACGGGGGGCGTGAAGGTGCAGGCGGTGGGTGAAAGTACCTGGGATGTGTCTGAATTAGCTTCTCCCATGGTATTAGGTACTGATTGATCAGAGGGAGCATCGTCAATTCGTACAGGCTACTCGTGTCAATCTCTTGGGTGGCTTGATCTTCATCAATCAATCGTCAATTCGGATTCCCACACGGGTATATATACACGTGTGGTATATATATATCCCCCGAACACGGCCTATATGAATCCTGTAGACGGCCGCTATATAGGCCTGGGTCAATGCTCTGGTATGCAAGCATTATATGTTTTGCTTTGGTTAGGACACTTTGAAATGGAAGAACTGATTGGTTCGGGATATCAACCCATCGGTAAAATCTCCATTGGGGTCTGATACAAACCTTTTGTGCCTTCTGAAAATCTTTTTTTGCGCTACCGCTCACAGGATGAGTATGGGGTGCATAATAAAACACACAGCTGCATCTCACATATTCACTGTGTAACAAAGCCTTTTAAGCCGAATAATAGAGAAAGGAGTTTTTGACAAGTTGTGTCAAGTTTGACAGGTTTGTTGCAGCAACCTCTGGTGACCCCCGCTGCTCCTGCATGTCGTGGGGGCAAGATGCGCAGTCAAGCGTCTTCCGGGCGCCGACAGGAAGAGAGCGGAGATTATAGTCAGTTATAGGTCGCGCGATCAATCGGAGACGATACTACCGGTTCTCACCTTCCGGCGCGATATATAGACGTTTGGCCGGCGCATGGCTGTTTGGCCGGCGCATGGCCGTTTGGCCGGGGCATGGCCGTTTGGCCGGGGCATGGCCGTTTGGCCGGGGCATGGCCGTTTGGCCGGGGCATGGCCGTTTGGCCGGGGCATGGCCGTTTGGCCGGGGCATGGACGTTTGGCCGGGGCATGGCCGTTTGGCCGGGGCATGGACGTTTGGCCGGGGCATGGCCGTTTGGCCGGGGCATGGACGTTTGGCCGGGGCATGGACGTTTGGCCGGCGCATGGCCGTTTGGCCGGCGCATGGCCGTTTGGCCGGGGCATGGCCGTTTGGCCGGCGCATGGCCGTTTGGCCGGCGCATGGCCGTTTGGCCGGGGCATAGAAATCTGCCCAAGTCATTGTCTGTCTCTGCAGACTGTCTGTTGATTGCCCCCAATAACTATTAACCCAATTATCAAGAGAAATAGTATTAGTAATAGTACAATGGTAAATATAAATAAATTATATAATATATATAATATATATGCATATATATTAATAAATGTCTGTTGTATTTAGATTCTGTGATAAATCGGTCATTAGCCCTCCCCGCTGAATTAAATTAACCAAACTAGGCTAAGTAAGTAATTAAGTGAATTACTCGCGGTAAGCAGCTGTGGGGTGACGAAACAAGGGGGGAGGGGGTAGCAGAGTGATCTTAGCAACGGGCTCTAAGACAAGTAATTATTTAGGTTGTTTTAAAGCAATTTCGTTCTG